TGGCAGCCCCTGAGATATTGGAACACTGCTGTCATGTCCCCCCTCGTCCTTCTCTTCGTTAAATTAGACATACCCAGTTCCAGCAGCCTTTCCTTATATGCTTTAGCCTCCAGGTTGCTTCTCTCCTTGATTAGTTTCCATCCGTTGCTTCTTCTCCTGCCTTCAGGCCCTTTGGAGAATTTTGTCCTCACCACAAGCCCTGTGAGGGAGGCTGGGTTAAGAAAGAGCAACTGGCTGGCTACCCAGCGTCCTTTGGTGACTGGCCGAGGGTGGTTTTGATCCCGGGTCTCTATATCCTTGGCACAATGTTACCCCATCCTGACTTTTTTTTTTGTTTTTTGTTTGCAAAACTGACTAATACAGATAGTCCTCGACTTACGACCACAATTGAGCCCCCAATTTTTTGTTGCTAAGCTAAGAGTTTTGCAAAACTGACGAATACAGGCAGTCCTCGATTTACGGCTGCAATTGAGCCGAACATTTACGTCGCTAAGCGAGTTTTGCAAAACTGACTTAATACGGGCAGCCCTTGACTTATGACCACAACTGGTCCACAGTCTGGGATGTGTCAGGCCAGGAATTGCTTGGAAAGGAATCTGCAGTCCTAAGCATTTAACTCTTTATATTGCTGACTGGGGAATGCTGGGAGTTGAAGTCCACGCATCTTAATATGGCCGAACTTGAGAAACAATGCTTTAAGTCTTTGCCTTGTTTTCAATTCAGGAACAAATTTTGTACCCCTCCCCACAAGGAATAGGTACAAGTAGTGCTCCATTTACAACCAAAATGGGGCCTACCCATTACAGTCCTAACTTGTGACGTTCATATGACCAATCCAATATTATGACCTTTTTGGGAGCGGCCACAGTCATTAAACAAAACTAGCTATGGGCTAGTTTTGCGGCAAACCAGAAGTAAATGTTGGTTTGGGGCAAAATGATTGTAAAAACGTGGACGTGTGACTGTAAATGCAACCCAGTTAGTGCCTAAATGCCCAGAGTGTGGTCATGTGACTGCAGGGGGGGAGGCTACTGTCAGAACTTCAAATCTGGGCCTTGGGTCTGTTGCTAAGCAACTTGTCGTAAGTCGAGGACTAGCTGTAATTGATTTGTGACTGCAGAAGATTTTGTGAGTCGTAGCCCACTGATGATGACAGCAGGCAGGATGAAGAAAGAAGTATTGGGTGTGTTACATTTTTGCACTGAGTATTTAGCTTACGCATACACAGCGTGACAAGAAAATTCTTTAATTTAAGCCAGGAAAATGGGTGAGAAATCCCCAGGTTACTTTGAGTTCAACTCTTTCACAACTCTGTAATTCCTGTTTCTCGAAAGGGTGCATGCCTTGAGTCAGCACCAGAAAGTCTGGAAGAGCTAAAAGGTTTCCCCCCCCCCAACTGGTTTTGCAAGTTTCACTTGCTATTTCAAGCAAGGGTGGGGGGCCTGGAAAACAAATCTTTGGAAAAAAA